CTTAGGAAAGGGACTGCGGGGGGCGGGGGTGGGGGGAGGGCATTTGTAATGGAAGTAATGAAGGAGAAAGAGATATAATATCATGTATACCCTTAGTAACACATAAAATGAGATCAATATGTGTACATGTAATCTCTTGTCTTAATGTATTCTCTTCCTTCTTGTGCTCCTCCTAGGGTGATGGCGACACGGGCAGAGAGGACTCCAGGCACTACACACCCTTGTCCAGCGCGCTGCCCGATGTGGTGGAGAACCCGCCGCCGGCACCCAGGTTTACCAGCGGCGCCGTGCCGCCACCCAAACCCCCTAGGCTGTTTTTGTTCCGGTAAGAAATGCCTAACGTCGTCGAAAGTTCAAAATTTGGGGAAGTTGGAAGCATGCAGTTCGTCTCTCTCTCTCTCTCTCTCTCTCTCTCTCTCTCTCTCTCTCTCTCTCTGTTCCCATTTTAACCTCTCTCTTAAATAAAGTTATGTCCTGTTTGTCCAAATTTGACAGGGAATACGCAATAAAGGCTCTTCCTAAGTTGAAGGCAAAGTTAAGTTAATTTTTATCTTATCTATTTTTAATGTGTTTTAAGCAACGTTTTTTGGCGCTTGGACGTTGTTCTTTAGTTTGGAAAGACTGGGGGTAATAGAAGGTTTCGTTTTGGTGATGAAGTAGCACTGGTTCCTGTCTGGTTGCCTTACTAACAAAACAGGTTTTAGCAGTTGTATGTGATTTGACGCATGATGGGCACGATGAACTAGCCACCCAAGCGAGGCTTTTTATTTATTGTTCGTGCCTTGCTTGGAGTGTCCTTTTTACCTTTTAAAAGCTAAATTCCTGAAAATGTGATGGTCTTCTCCCTCTAACGGTAAGCTAGTATGGTTGGCCACGATATTGACACTTAAATTTTCCACGCCACGTAGTAGCTGCGTCTGTGTGATATTTTTTCTACTCTCATTTTGAATTAATATCTCATATACATCTTTATTCTCTCCTCCTCTTTGTGTGTTTTCCCCAGTACCCCATCCACCAACTCAGGAAGGCATCCAGACGCGAACCAGGACCAAACTGAAGAAGCCACTTACATGAACTGTGAGCGAGTGGCGGAACTCAAAGCACAGATTCAAGCCTTCTCCTCGGACTCCTCCAAGTCGGATGGCCACGGCGACAGCTCAGGGAATGAGGCCGAGAGCAAGAACGCAGGGGAAAACAACAACCTCGTCAGCAAAGCTCCTTGCACGGGAGAGCAAAGACTGCACCACGATAGCCTCGCCAGTGAAGGACACGAAGAACCACTGACCGCAGTTGTACAGAGAGCAGCAACAGATCCTTCTATACAGACAGCGTCTTCAGCCCAAGGCGCTGACGTTGAGGAAAATACAGCATCCATTCCATCGACCGCGCAGCAGCCGACGTCGCGGCCCGAAGTCTCGGCTCAAAGGCCTAAAATCGTGACGCCAGAGCTGCGTGCGAAGAGACCCGGCCGAGTGCGTCGACGGTCCAGCGAGAAAGGGGAGGTAACTCGCCAGCGTCACATCATGAACAATGTCGGGGAGTTGCTCCGGCAACGGTTTGACCCTTACCCCATGCTGGGCAGGCTGAAGGACGCTGGTCTGTTGAGCGACGTGGACATCCAGACGTACGCAGGGACACGGGATCGACGCTCGGTGTGTGAGGGTTTGGTAGATTTGATGGGAGATGGTGAACCCGAACTCATTCCTGCATTCTGTGATGTGCTAGCGACTTCTGGAGCTTCCACTGAGATCCTAGAGGTAATTCCATGCTGTTCTTGTGGCTGTGATGTTTCAGACCCTACTTGTTAGACGGCCATTTCTTTTCGTTCCCACTTTTACCTTGATCAGTCTGTCAGTCTTTCTTTTTTATTGTGTTTGTGTTCTTATCTTTTCTCAATCTTTTATTCTCTCATCTCATCCACAACTGCCCTTTATCTATCGTGTAGCACCTCCTGATTACCATTTCTCAGTTCAGATTGTGGGTGAATGGAGGGAGCCACTGGAGCATCCTGCTTCTTTTCTTTTTGCTCTATTGTTTCTGTCTGTCCATCTTGCTTTTTCCCAGCACTAAATGACCATTATTGTGCTTTTCTTTATCCAAACGAAAACAAACAACAAGTGAGGGTGGTTGATGGCAGGGTTGGGTTGATTTAAATCAGTTGATTTTTTTGATTTAAATCAACTTGATTTTTTGGATAAATATCAGTGATTTAAATCACTTAAAAATTTTTTACATTTTTATTCAGTTTTTACATATTTCAACATTCAGAATTCCCTTCCTTGGTTTCATAAAACAGATATAAGGTTAAGTAGACTAATATAATCATGTTTAAAAGTCTTCTTTCCCACCTTTCACTGTAAAATAATACAGTATTCAATTTACTTTTTTTTCCATAATTGAAATCAGAGCTGGGTTGATTTAAATCAGTTGATTTTTTGTATATTTCAATCAACTTGATTTTTTTTTTTTAATCAGTGATTTAAATCACTTTTTAACAAATGTATTCAGTTTTTACATATTTGAACATTCAGAGTTCCTTTCCTTGGTTTTATTAAACATATAAGGTTTAGTACACTAATATAATCATGCTTAAAATTTTGCTTTCCCCCTTGTCACTGTAAAATAATACAATATTCAATTAACCCAGTGATTTAAATCACTTTTAAAAAATGTATTCTGTTTTTACATCTTTAAATATTCAGAATTCCTTTCCTTGGTTTTATAAAACATATAAGGTTTAGTAGACTAATAAAATCATGCTTAAAAGTCTGCTTTCCCCCCTGTCACTGTAAAATAATACAGCATTCAATTTACTTTTTTTTCATTATTGAAATTAACATTTTCTTTTTCTTTTTACACAAACACAAGCGCATGCACACACACACACACACACACTGTAATAAAATGCAAGTTTATCTATGCATAATTACCCCCCCCCCCTTCCTTTTAGACTGACATTTTCTTCATTTTTTGTCTGTAGCCATAATTCACTGATATATATATATATATATATATATATATATATATATATATATATATATATATATAGCAGATTAAGGCTTTCTTTTGAGGTTGCTTAATTTAATCATTAGTTAAAATAAAGACAATGCATTTTGCACTAAAAGAACATACTTTTAGTAGCCAAAAATCCCAAACTGTGTCGACATTTTTTAAAAAATCAAAAAAATCAAAAAATCTGATTTAAATTTAAAAAATCATGATTTAAATTTAAAAAATCGATTTTTTTTATTTTTATGAAAAAAATATAAAAAATCACCAACCCTGGTTGATGGGTGCTCTTCTGTTATTCGCTCCTTCTTTCCTATCAAACATCTATCATCATTATCTCTCCTCGTTTCCTTTCTGTTACTTACTAGTAATACCATCTTGTAATATAAGAATTCCTATGACCTTTAAAGCATACAATCAGAATACCATTGGGTCACAATCAGAATACTGATTACGTATCCAGCTTAAGACTATTAATTTTAACTATTGTTGTCATTTATATAGAATCTATTATGCATGTGACTCTGAGCCTGTTTGTGAGTGCAAGCATCCAACTGCATCATTATTGTTATGTGCACAGACATGTGTGAAAGAGAGAATGTGATAGTGTGTGTGTGTGTGTGTGTGTGTGTGTGTGTGTGTGTGTGTGTGTGTGTGTGTGTGTGTGTGTGTGTGTGTGTGTGTGTGGTGAAGCATCAAACCAATAATATTATCTACTTTTTCTTCAACACTTACATTATGACGTCTTTGTGTCGCAAGCGCTGTAAAACTCTTACTAAAGTCAAACGAAAACAATCAGCTCATATTGAGTGTGTTGCTTGCTCCAGGTCCTCCAGGTGATGCGGGAGATGGACCGCATCATCAACGAGGTGCAGTGCAGCGCCAGCGAGAGCTCTGTGCTGGAGGAGGAGAAGAACGTGACCTTTGACGTGGGCTACCTGGCCCCTGACCTTTCCCTCAAGCCTCTGGTGGAGCTGGAGCGTGTGCGGGCCAGTGGGGACAAGAGGCTCAGCAAAGCGTCCTCCCGGGCATCGGCCTACTCCTTACTGGAGGGAGACTCCGACTCGTGTCGCAACGGCGAACCGGGGGCGTACCCGGGTCTGGTGATGATGAGTGTGTGCGTCACGGGTCACGACCTCTCCGGACGAAGGGCCGAGGCGCTGGCTCAGATGGTCAAGTCTCACAACTGCATCAGTCAGCTGCACCTTGGCAAGACGCAGCTCTCGGGGGTGGACATAAGCGTGGTGGCGAAGGCGCTTCAGGAGAACAGCACTGTGCACTCTTTGGACTTGCGTCTGAACGTCGTGGACCAGGTCGGGGCGGACTCGCTGTCCGAGCTTCTTCAGAATACGAAATCCCTACGCAACCTGAATCTCTCTTCCACCAGCCTCGACCTGGCAGCCATCAAGACAATCACCTCAGCCGTAGCCGCCAACCGGACTCTGGTCGACCTTGACCTGAGCTTCCTGGAGATTAGCGACGAGAGCTGCTCCCACCTGCGAGATATGCTGAGGTCCAACTCCAGCCTGCAGAAGCTCAGGCTGAGGAACAACAACATCACGGCGCCGGGATGCTATGCGCTGTCAGAGGGTCTGGCGAGGAACAGAAGCCTCTGTGTCTTGGACCTCAGTAGGAACACCATCGGCAATGAAGGCATGCAGGTAGGGCAAAGTCGTTTTTTACATTTTTTTTATCGGGAAACATTGTGTTGAAAAGTGGAAAGGGGAATTGAGGATTGGGGAGGGGGGTGTTACTGTTGTTGCGGTTACAACGGGCTTTCAGAGCAACAAATGAAATGAAGGATCATAACAGTTTTCATAATATTATTATTAATTGCGGAGATAGTCCTCCTCAACAATAAGGGAAATATGCTTCTGCAAGTCGGTTCGTATTTGCCATTTTTGAAGGATTTATCTATTGTTTGGGTTGGATTTGGAAAGGTGAGGGGTTCCATTCTTCCATCTTATTTTTGTGATGACTGTAAAAATAATATTATTGCTGAGGAGGTCCTCAACGACATAGGAAATATACTTCTCCAAGTCTGTTAGATTTGTTGCCATTTTTAGAGGGTTATTGTGTGGATTTGGGGAAAAGGGGGAGATGGGTTTTTCTTTGTTTTTGTGTGTATGTTTGCGGTTGTTTTCTTTGTTTTTTTGTTGTTTTTTTTAACAGGCTACCGAACAGCTTTGGGAAAAGGCTTCACCATAAGGCGTGTCAAATATTCTAAAGTCTACATCAAAACCTAGACCAGAAATTAAAAAAAGGAAATAAAATCAACAAAGTTTAACCCGCTATAAAAAGCAAACGGATTTTTAAAAGAATCAACTTGCAAACCAAAGTTCAGCCTTTCCCTACAAACAATAACAACAACAACGTAAACAACAGCAGCAGTATTAGCAACAACACCAACAGCAGCAGCAGCAGCAGCA